AACGAAGGACCTGTCGTGCTTGTAGCCAACCGCCAGCTGAGAATTCTGGTCTCCGTCGGTGGGACCAGTCTCGACGTCATCTTCAGACTCGTCAGAGTCGTAGTGTTCGCTCCGCTGCTCGTTGGTGCTCTCGTATTCTTCCTCGTCCTCCTCTTCTTCCTCTTCTGGCTCCTCGTCTGGCGCATCCTCCATAGTCAAATCCTGGAAGGCCTCTAGAACGTACTCTCGATCGGTGTCCTTTGCCTTGCCCCATTTCACCTTGTTCAAGTGCTCCCAGAGGGCTTGCATGACACCTTGCTGAATGTTCTCGAGCTCGTCCTGATCCTTGAACTTCAACAGCCATGAGTATGCCGAACCGTCGTCTAGATAGTGGTTGAATATAAAAGACTTGTATTCGTAGTTGAAGACGGGGTTGATGTCTTCAACGATGGGCTGTCCTAGCCACTCGCGCTCTTCTCCAGCAATGTGCAGCCAGTAGTTCCATTCGCCGATCTCGGTAACCGTGACACTGACTTTATCGTCTTGCTTCATGAAGGTGCCAGAGGGGAAGTCGAAGAGATGGAGTTCCGCGTCTCCTTCGACCAGGGTCTCAAGAGCCTGGGGCTGGGCGGCAGAGGGCGGCGCGGCCGTAGCATCCTCCTGCTCCGGGACAGTGCCCTTTCCTGCAACCTTCTTGGCCATCTTTTCCTTAGTTGTATTGGGGAATAGCTCTTCGGTAGTGGGGGGCTCGACGGGAAGCGCGCGGGCGTTCGAGAGGGTCGGGCTGGCGATCGGGCTCGCGTCGGGGATGGGCTCCTCGTAGTAGGCTAGGGCAGCGAGGTCGTCCTCGGTCGCGTGCTCGTGGCTTCTCCGGAACTTCCTCTCGTACTGGCACTGCAGGGCCACGCGCTCAAACAAAGACGCGGTTTCGGGCTTGACTGACGGGTCGCACACAAACTCCCAGAGGTCGTCGACGTCGCCACTAAGGTCGCGCCACGCAAAGATCTTCTCGCCGGTGGAGCGGACGTCGTCACGGAACTGGAGGTCTTCGTCGAGCAGAAATGTCTTTTCGTCCTTGTCGCCGGCGAGCGCGTCAAGTGCCGCGTCTTCGTTTTCTTCTGCTAGCAGATCCTCCTCGCCTTCCTCGTATGCGCGCTGGATGACGAGCTGGTACTGGAACTCCTGCCCGGTGCGGCGGATGGTAGCTGCAGCGTCCTACCAGGCTGTTAATGCACATGCAGTCCAGGATCACGGGCTTGCGTACCTTGAATATAAGCTCCGAGTATCCCTTGACAGAGCGGGGTCGGACGAGGTAAAGCTGGCCCTGGGCGATTTCGACGATGGTTTCCTTGGAGCTGTCGCCAAAGACAAATTTACTGACTGGTGGTACGGATTAGTGTCGTCGCAGCAACGGAGGGGGAGGGGCAGCGGCTCGGGAAGGAGAAACATGGCAAACAAAGCTCGACTTACGGTTTCGGAGCATGAACATGACGGCGACTGCTGAGTGGCGGGGCGACGCAAGAGCTAGGCCTTCATTTAAGCTCAGAGGAAAGGCGCTCGCTCAAGTCCATTTAGGTGACGACTAGGTCGTTTGCACGGGTTCTGGTGATGATGCAGGGTCTAGGCAAACACTCGCAGCCGCCTCGCTTAGCGACGTCATGGGTAGGGCTGACAGCAAGCTTTCACTCGACGCGGACAAGGTGGGTATCAAGAGAACCTCTCAGCGCATTACATTCAGTTGAAACTACTACTTAGCGGCCGCTGGACCACGGGCCAAATCATCACTCGCGATATGAAACTTGTTCTCAGAAACACATGGCCCAATAATCGCCTCCCTCCTAACGGCATTAATGTCTGTCATTCTGCGCAATTAGGCAGCAGGTTGGAAGGCAGTCAAACTGCTTGGTCTTTGAATGATGATGGCAGCCTGATTGTTGTTTCGACTTTTTCATTCGACAGCGCTACGTCGCTCTCACATCTGGGTATCATTACTTTTCTTTCGCTTTTCCACTACTCTCTACGCTCCTCATCTTCTCACGGTGACTTTTGCGCACCCCACACGATGCTCTCCATAAGCGCATACGGCGAAGAGTCAAGGTCAAGGCCAAGCAATGGCGACTGCGAGAACATATTCTCAGCATCGCCATTGAGAGCATTGTTGATGTCCTGTGCGGTGAAGACGTGCATCGTGGGGGACGCCTGTGAGCCTGCTTCACTTGGCTTGCGGTTGTGCGTCGTGGTGATTCTCAGCAGCCGCTCGAGAGCTGAGACGGATCGCGTGATGGGCGTGGCGAGCTCGGCAGGATCAACATCTTTTGTGACATCCGTGAGAACTTGGATTACGTTCTGCAATAGACTACGCGCCCGTTCGTTGCGGTTGTGTTCGCCGAGGATACCAAGCAGGAGGGCAGAGCTCAAGGAGCGATGCACCGCAGACCAGGAACGGGTAGCAAACGGTGTCATGTTTTGCAAACCGAGGAATGCTTCGACCGTGTTGGTGAGACTGTCGATGCACGTCTTGCGCAGTGTCTTGGAAAGATCGAGATTGGCAGTGGCGGGGCTGATGGCTGGTCGACAGAGCTCAGATGTGACGTAAGATATGTGCAGGTATAGTGCCCAGTGCTCGAGCTGATCGCGCATGGACCGACATCTTCTCGAGTCTTTGAGGTAGTCTGCGGCATCTATCATGATTTCCTGGAGTTCGTTGCGATGTTCAGTGATCCGTATCAGGGCATCGTGCGAGTTTTGTGGCCGTTGGCGCTCACGGACTATGTCGAGGCCTACTTTACACAATCGATACATACTCTCGACGTATGTTCTCGTCCCCGGCGCTGTGTGCTGGCTCATGGGTACAGTATGGTCAATGGTAGTGGTCGACGACGCTCTGTCGTATGAGACAGACAGTAGTGAGTCCTGCCAAAGAAGCGCCCACCATGTCTTGCTCCGGATCACCCTTTGCTGCACCGGCGTTGACGGAGGACACTGTCGATGTAGCCCTAGCGTCTGCGAGAGGCGGACTGTTAATCCCATCAGACTCCAAGCAACACCGGCATTCATGTTGTTTGATATAACGTTTCCAAGGATAAGAAGGGTCTGTATGTTTTCGATGGTCGCGTGCGATAGGAAATTAGTGAAACGCAGGCATTCGAAGCTGCAACAGACGTAGACCTGCGATGTCAACTCCCTCTCTTTTCGTGACAGACTCGAGCATTGACAGCCTGAAGCTAGTATAGCAAAGACCATGCCTATCCAATGAAAGTCTTTCCCATATATTTGCTGATCCGTGATGCCGTTGGTACCCTGTGAGCTGGCCCGGTTTATCAGGAAGAGCAGAAGATCAGATTCAATGGCCTCGATGTCGGCAACGGCGGGGTATACGGCGTGCGCGGTTTCGCGATAGCTGCGGAAGAAACTCAGGCATTCAGAGTCGCTCGGTAATGCGTTGGCAAGCTCGTGGGCGCGCGCTATCGATCCGTGTGGTAGGCCCCAAAGGTCGACGAAGGGATATGTAGCGCTCTCGTTGTCCAGGCCAAATATCGGCAGCATGCTCTTCTTGCCCAGGAGATCTTGCACGCCCGGCGCCCATTGTGTGTCTCCCCTCCCTAATGCCATGACGAGCGCTGGTACTGAGCTGGGACCGATGTGTATCGTTTGGCCGGTGATGTCGTTGCGCGTGTGTATTCCTTGGGTTCTGACGTGGCTCTGCTCACCGTCCATGGGCGCTGCTGCGGCCAAAGGCGTGTTTCCAGATCCATCAGCAGGGGAGAAGCCGTTCATGGGTGGTGGTATCTCCGCAACGCTACCGACGGCATGCTTCAAATCACTGAGCGACTTCTCAGCTTGCTGCAGTTTCCCGCAGATGCGTTCCCAGTCCTGCTACGGTCAGTATACAGCCATTCCCCCTATCATATGTGTGCGCACCTCTCGAGGCAGCGTGACTGTGCCGCCATGTATGTGAACCAGGCCGTTGGAGAAATCATGGCCGTTGTTCTGTCCAAGTCCGAGGTTGATTCGTTTCGCGGGCGGGTGCGACTCGCTGGGCGGGTGGTAGGTACATAGCTCGGGATGTTCGCGGACGACGCATGTCTTGCAGGGCACGTTCTGGTCGCACTTGACCTTGCGCTGTCGACACGGATAGCAGGCCTGTAGGAGAGTAGAGCGTCAGCGCATGTTCGTGGGGCAGTAGCTCCTGCCGTGCTGGATGCGCCGGGTCCTGTAGCCCAATTCGGCAATGCAGAGAGGCCTCTCTTCCAACATGCCCATACTAAAGCCCCTCGAACCCAAAAGCCTCCTCTTTTCCATCGCTGCATCGATAGCGCATCATCTCAACGGCGTACCTTGTACTCTCGCGCCTTCCGCTTCCGTCTCAGGATCTCATCGACGTCGGCTCTTGGCGGCGTGTCTTGCATAAACCCATTTGGCGCGTTGGAGTTGTGCGTGTCCTTGAGCTCGTCCATGGTCGAAGCTCGGGGGAAAGTCGTCAGAGGTCTGTCTGGGCCGGATAGTCGCGCTGGTGGAGTGTCGACTTCGGTCGGCCTTTCCGCTCGCTGGAGCCCCACTCCTGGGCAAGGATGCCGATCGCCTCTGACCCCGGCTAGTCACGCGTCTAGGAAGCTTGACATTCCCGGCCAACGGTGGGAATAATTTCCTCTGCCCATCGCATCCACTTCTTTTCCACCCAGCCAGGGCCTGCAATCATGCCATGACATCACCGTTGAGAGGTCTCGCCTTCATGGCATTGTCAATGAGCTCGCTCACAAACACTCAGCTGTGTAACGACTGGCAGGATTGCACCCAACGGGATTTGGATCCATATTGGAAGTAGGAAGTTGATGGATTACGAATAACATACGCTATGGATGTCGAAAGAAGCCTCTCGATCCCAAGACCCCTCCCACGGCCTTTTCCCGGTGAAACACCAAGCTCTCCAAACGCCCACAATGCAGCATAACAAGAAAAGTCGAAGAAAGCTTGACGATAGATCCACAAAACAGAAAACGATCAGATTATCCTTCTCCTGACTAAGCTCCCAGCTTCTCCTCCTTGTTCCTGTCCTCCTCACTATAGGCATAGTGAGAACGCTCACGGATCTTCGCACCGTAGAAATAGAAGAAGAAAGGAATCGCGCAGCACGCCAGCCCGATAAAAGCGATGAGAGAACTGGCCCACTGATCGCCCAAACGCTCGTACATCTGGTTTGTGAACAACACCACAGCCGCTCCCCAAAAGCTGCGCAGGAAGGTCTTCGCCGCCAGCGCTGACGCAGCTTGGTGCTGGTACGAATCGACGAGGTAGTTGTTGGCTGAGTTGTACAGGAAGATGAAGCCGAAGCCCACAGAGCCACCGCCGAATGCCGGACCTGCCCAGTGGGTCTCGGGCTGACTTGTCCACGCAAAGATGAAGACTCCAATTGGGATGAACCAGCATGAGCACATCATGGGGATCAGACGCGCTTCCGCTGGTGGGTGGCCGTTGTGCTTCTCTACCAGTTTCATGTAGTGTTTGTTGACGAGCGGTGCGCATGCAGCGGAGAGCAGAACACCGCAGATGAGCGGGATGAACATGAGACCTGTTGGTCCTGCGCTCCAGCCCTTGCCCTTCTGGTAGACAATCGGGTATGCGACGAAGAACATGTACAGGAGACCGTACAGAACCGACATGTAGAGCGTGATCAGGAAAACGATGAGCTCACGGAAGAGCAGCTGGAAGGGTCGAAGGAGGAAGAGCTGGAGGCGCTGGCTAAATGGCCGCATGTCGAGATCCTGTTCTGTGACAAACTTGTCATCGCCCGTCTCCTTGCGCATTTTCTTCGCTCTCCTGTCCAGAATCTTGGGCGCGTATGTCTCCGGTACGGTAAAGGTGATGAGGATCCAGACGACAAAGCTGAGGATGAGTTGGATCCAGTATAACCAGCGCCATCCACCAGCTTGACTGAGGTAACCGCCGACCAAAGGTCCAACACCAGGGCCGATGAACGGCGCCGCACTGAAAGCTGCCATGGGAACACCTCTCTCCTCCGATCTCCACATATCCGCCAGCGTTCCACCAACAAGCGTCATGGGTGCCGAGAACGCCACACCAGCAATGAAGCGCGTCACCAGTAACGTTCCAATATTTTGCGCGACAGCTCCAGGAATAGTGAAGATGACAGCCAAAGCAAGCGTGACACCATACACCGGTCTCCTCCCCCAGATCTCAGACGCCGGCGCAAAAGCCATAGGTCCAACACCGAACCCAACAACGAAAAGCGTAATAGTCAACAACGCCACCTCCTCGCTGACCCCAAACTCCGCACTCACACCTTCCAGATCCGCTGTGATGACCGCCGAGTTGAACGCAACAACAAAGCAAGTCGCCGCAACACACATGGTACACCACCACTTGTACGCCTTGCTCCAATTCTTCGGGTTCTCCTTGTCGTCAATGGTAAAAGTGACCAAGTCGTACTTCTCGACCTTGCCCGCGTTGGACCGTACTTCGCGCATCATCTGCCCTGAGATGGTTTCTTGTGTGTATTCTTCGAGGTTGGCATCGTTGGAGAGAGTGCGAGTAGGTAGGTTGACTATGTCTTCGGCTGTTGGCGCGCGGTGGAGGGGTGCGGGCTTTTCGGCATCGAGGGTTGTGGTATCTGAGGATGAGGAGCGTCGGCCGGGGTGTGTTGGGTCGTTGGATGGGCTGGCAAAGTCCCGCGTCATGGGGAATTGTATGCCTTCTGTTGCCATGGTAGGTTTAATCAGACCTCCAGCTCTGTAATGAGATGTCGATAATGAGGGTGACGAATATGTCCAGTACTTCGGGGTATGCGGCGGAAAGAAGCTTGATATATAGGTAGCAATCTTCCAATGACTTCAACAAAAGTCAAAGATCATCAACTTTCGTAAGACTGATCCAAAAAGCCCAGTGAGTGGCCTGATGTTCAACAAGTTAAACACCAAGGATATATCGCAACAGTGATGCAATCCAAAAAAAGCTGATCTTCAACACTTCCAAACCTCGAACCGGGCACCGGCACACCCATATATACACATACACACACGCACGCGCCTCCATTTCCCTGATAAGGCCTTTTGAAATCTTCGTACGACCAACCTCTGCAAAAAAGTCTCATCACTCATGACAATCTTGCACCCGGAAAACTCTCGGGTCTTGGGTTTCAACGGGGCTCTTGGATAGTTCGACGGGAAGGGTCTCGATAGCGCCCGCATGCTAAGCTGTATTTGGAAAGGCGTTGTGCTGATGGCTGCAGGGGCCATGCATAGAGTTGAAATCCGAGAGATGTCCGGATGGAAATAAACATTGGATACAGTTAAAACGTGTAGAACGAGTCCCAGCGTTTCTCGCACGTGCATGGGCGGGTAGGATGGTAGAACGACGGGTCCCCGCTGTTTTTTGCTACGGTTGTAGACGCTGGATGCGCGGTGGAGGATCATGATTGTGGGTGTGTGTGTTTCTTATCGGAGCAAGGTGACGCGTTGACGTCATTATGGAAAAAGAGAGAAAAGAATAGAGTACGGAAAGAGGGACAAAGGCGTTCTGCGGGTATACTAAGGATCATGCGAACATATCCGGAAACTTCATCGGAGAGGTCGGGCATCAACACAGTTGGGGATGATAAGACTGTTAGAGTATGAGCTGGCGACAAGTAAGTGAGTACCTTTTTATCAAACTAGTGGGTTTCGTGAAATACGGCGTATATTCCAATATTGGTTATGGGATGCGCGTTAGTTTGCTTTATTGTAGCACTGAGTCTAGATTCACTCTCACATGTAACTGAATAGTCTAGGATATATACGGGTAGTCTTTCTTCGCAAAAGATGCCTTTTTAATGTCTATATTGGCAAATAATCGCACGCTACTTGACGGATTGAGATTCCAAGGAAAAGAAAAGGTATACTAGCATATCTCCACTACTACCCCAGGCTCAGTCCACCTTGATGGACCTGTAGATCTTGAGGGTGAATAGCCAGCTGGCGAAGAAACCGATGGTGCCTATTCATTTCGTTAGCACGCGGTTTACGAGCCAGGGGGTTAGAGTGCAACATACCAGTCAGAATGAACACCAGCGAACTCAGCAAAGCCGAGTATCCCAGGTACACGACACCACTTGTCCAACTAGTCCAGCTCACATCCTTGATCCAGTAGAGCAAGCAACTAGCAAACACGTACGCGGCACTCGCACCAGCAGTGAAGAAAGACCTCCACTGCCAGTGATAGTTCTCCGCGCAAAGCAAAAAGTACATCATGAGTACTGTGACCGCCGCCGAGGTAATGATCATAAGCCCAAAGCAGATGAACAGGAAACCGAACATGTAGTAGACCTTTGAGAACCAGATCGAGTTCATGATGAAGTAGAGTTCGACGAAGATGGCGCCAAAGGGAAGTACACCGGCCAGGGCCATGGAAGGAAGAGGTCGCAGGTAGCCTCCCACAGGTGGAATCTGGCGTGGGATCTGGTTTGTACGCACGGGCGGCTCGATGGCGGCCTGCTTAAATCCGAGCCAGGAACCAGCGACACTCAACGGGACGGAGATGACGAACCAGATGATGACGACTACGAGCATGGTCGTGAAGGGCACAGCACCGGATGCGCCGCGACCCCAGACGAACAGGTTCATGAGGAAGAAGACGCCAAAGACGATCGCGGGTAGAGCTACCGGGGTGTAGAAGAAGCACAGTTTCCACGACTCGCCGTGGAAGAACTTGTAGGTACGTGCCGCGGCGTAGCCACCGAAGAAACCGAAGAGCGTGTAGAAGATGATGATGACGGTTCCGAGAGCGCCGCGGTTGCTAGGAGAGAGGAAGCCGAGAAGCGCGAATACTGTCATTGATGTTAGCAGGGACCTGACATCGCATATGTTCTGGCGACGTACCTATAGTCAACGCTGTCATGGCGAAGAGCTGAGCTCCGTTGCCAATCAAAACCGACAGAAGCAGCGGGTTCTTCGGTGGCCTGAATACATCACCGTGTACGAGTTTCCAGCCAGAGTCATCCGCTGTATCATCGCCGTCGCCGCTTTCTCCAAAGTCCTCGAGCGCAAACTGATCCAGACGGTTGTAACGCGCGATATCCTTCTTGAGGGTGCGCACAAGAATGGTGCTGACCATTATGACGAGGAAGACGACGATGACGGCCGAATTGATGAGAGAGAACCAGTGGATCTTGGGATCGTATACGTGTAGGTACTTGTCCCATCGGGTCGCAAACGGAGTCGGACTTGGTCGCCAGTAAACGCCGTACGTGAAGACGACCAGGTTATCATCAGCCTCGCCCTCTTTCAGAATAACCGGTGTCTGTCCATTGCACGTCGCCCCGTCGTCGCCCTGCCTCTTCGATTCTGCCACCGAGTATGGGTCTACCAACACACCAACGACGCGGAAGTTCCCCGGCGATGCTTCGTGGTAGTCGATGACAATGTCGTAGTGGTTGTTGAGCATGGGCTGGTCCTCGTCTACAAGACCCAGCGCGAAGCCTGGTTGATAGAAGGTCTGGTCTGAGCCCGGTTCCCTAAGTGATTGTGCTGCAGGTAGCCCATCGATCAGCCAGTTGAGGTCGTAGCCCTGGTATATCCTGCTGTTCACAAACGCCGCGTCCTTGCCCGGATATGGCGCCTCACAGAGCAGTTTACACGACTCGTTCATGCCCATCTTCAGCTCGAACGGACTCGTCTGTATCCGGTCGCCAAACAGTATGCTTCCCAAGCTCTCACGAATTTCTTTGGGGCCATCTTTTGGGCGGCAAAAGTGGAAGGGCGGGTGGTAGTAGTCGAAGGAGAAGACGGATCGTAGCTTGGGGTCGTTCTGCGAATCGGCGGGTGTCAGGCGATTGACGTATAACGGAACTGCGTCGCCGGTCTTGTACGAAGTTGGCGCGGTGCCTGGGAAGTAAAAGGCCGACGCTGGCGAGGGTGCAATGGCTAGCAGGGCTGCCAGGGCTGCGCTGCATTTCGATATCGCGGATCGCGGCATTGTGTTAGGTGTGTCTGCCTATATAAACGAGGCGCGTGAAAGTGGCTTTAATACGTGGTGGAGCCCACGGGCCGGCGTCAGCTTGAGATGCTGGGCGGAATGCCGAAACGTAGCGTCGCAGCGCAAACGTCGCCAAAAGTCGACAGCGGAGGAGACGATGATGGCGTATTATTAGACAGGTAATCTGTCCATAGCGTGCAGCCGGCGATGGTACGACAACAAGGCGGCACGGTGCTAGCAATGTGTTGTTCTCAAGCTACCTGTCCAAAGCTCCCTGAAGGCCGCCTAAGAAAGCGTCCCGCAAGGTTGCGTCACGTCAGAACACAGACCCGACATGCCATGCAGACGCCCAATTACAAGTTTGTACCAAAGAACCCCAAAAATAGGCTTTCCTGGGTGAGGCTTACAGTCAGACCAACGTGCAGAATCAAGCAAGTTTGAAATTGTTGTTGCATTCTTGACCGCGGAAACGAAATGCGCACTTTGTATACATCATTCATGATGTCCGGTACGCCAAGGCGAGGTCATCCACCCTAACAGCAAGGGAATAATGGTATGCCAATCCCACAAATGCGCTGTGATATCGACTATAACGAAACAAGCAGAAAACGACACTGGGTATCGACCCTCTTCCTCACACAAGACCATCGTACAGAGACAAGGCGGAAACGATAGTCTCGTCGCGCTTCGAGCCCTCCTTGAACTCAGCCATGTCTAAGCTGCCGTTCTCGTCCTTGTCCATCATGCGGAAGATCTTCTTAACGCGCTTCTCGGGGGTGTCTTCGTCTTCCGGGAGCTTAACCATGGAGCCGACCTGCACATGTCAGTAATGAAGGCGCATCCTTGGGCGTGACTACGTACCATCTTGTAAATGGCTTCTACGATTGCCAGCATCTCCTCGTAGCTGATCTTGCCGTCTCCGTCAATGTCGTACAGCTGGAACGCCCAGTCTAGCTTGTCCTCCATCTTGCCGCGACTCGTGACGCTCAATGCGCAGATGAACTCCTTGAAGTCGATTGTGCCGGACTTGTCTGCATCGAAGACATTGAAGACGTAATCTGCAAATGACGACGGATCCCCAAACGGAAAGAACTGCTTATAGATCTTTTGGAACTCCTCCTTGGTGAGCATGCCCGAGGGACAGTCCTTCAGGAAGCCTGTATGTACTCAGTCACAGTCCGACCCAGTTGCCCCACTGCGTGCGCACCTTTGTACCATTGCTGTAGTTCTTTCTTGTCGAAGTGTGTCGCTTTCTGGAGGTCGGCCAGCTCTTGCTGTGATAGTTTACTCTGGCTATAGCGATGTACAATCAGCTGTTGGTTCTGCAATTCCAAGCACTTGATTCCGCAGCGCGACCCCAATTCGTCTTCCAACTCGCGTATAGCATTCGCCAAGGCAATTTCCCGCATATCCTTGTAGTGCGCATAGCCGGACTCGTCATGACGGGGTACGTCGCTATGATGGCGGCGCGCAAACCGCAGAGGCGGGTGGTTGTGCTCCAGCAGCGGGATTCCGTGCGCCTGTGACGGGAGGTGAGACAGCGGTGGTGTATGCGCGGGCTTCTTGTGGTCGTGGATGTGGAGCTCTTGGAACATGCTTGTGCCGTGGGCGATCGAGTGTGCGGGCGGGCGGAGAATGTCTGCGCCTGAGTGAAGGGTCCATGACGAGGTCCGGTCCAACGTGTGGCCTTCACTCGACGACGCGCGTGTCCGAGGTGAAGGGCAGGAATCTCCAAACGTCGGGATGGTAGGCGCGATGGCCCCGCATTACAAAGCAGCAAGGAAAGAGAACTTACGATTTACCCATGGCTGCTAGATGTGCGGAATATCGTGCGTCGAGGCTTTGCGGGTGCACCGGATTATGTAGGAAGGAAAGGCAGACAGTCGGGGGAATTGGTAGGCGTTGGAAGGCGGAGCAGCAATCAGAGTGGTAGCTGGGTGCAAGTGGCGGGCCAATCGACGGCGGGGTGCTCTTCTGGGAGACGGAGGCGCAGCACGCTGGAAGAACCGTGGGCGGCGGATGTGGAGGGCGATAGGAGCGAGACTAGGACTATGGTGTAGACAGGCAGAGGCAGGGGAGCGGAGGATATATGCTGCAGGCTGGTCGTCGTGACAGCTCGGCTTCCAGCCCGTCGACGCAAATAGCGGCCACGCCGAGAGGGCCCTGGCAGCCCTGGCCGCTTCGTCATGTCCCGCTTTCGCATGCGTCGAAGGCGGGCAACCCCGCGAGTCTAGCAAAAGCGCCCGTGGATGATTCGCGCTTGAAGGCCCGGTTTCACGACTGTAATGTGAATACCGCGCTGCACTCGCTGGCCATTCAGCTCCGCCCGACTGGCGCGCAACCTGCATACGACCCCATCGCCCACCGCGCATGCCTCTTCACGTCACGTGTATGCGCGTGCTCCACCCGATCCACGTTCGCTGACCCTGCGCTGTTCCATTGTCGGCGGCACAGCTGGTCCCCACCACGCAACCATGGAAGACGTCCTGAACGAACAATTCGAACGCGTCGAGAAGGCCTTGACAACCTTGGTCGACTCAATCGCTGCCTACAATCCGGCCACGCAAGCTGCCGTCGATCTGCTAGCTGCTGACGACGAGCTCAGTCAAGGCCTGGACCAACGTACGCGAACACCCACGTCTGCTGACATTGACGACTGACGCACTGCAGTCGCCAAACACCAGGCAAATCACATCCGCATCCAAAACCTCCGCGCAGAAGCCGATGCGCTCGAAGACCAGCTCAAGACGTCCGTCAAGAAGCTCGCAGAACTGCGCCATGAGCTCTTTGACACAACCGTGACCACATTCCCCGAAGACTCGCGCGCCGTCCCATTCGACGAACTTCTACAATACGCGACCAATATTTCCCGACACACCGTCCCGCCAACATACCGTGAACCCGTACCTGCCGCAGACAAGGAGAAGGAGGACGATGAGGTCGGCTCAAGCGGCATTCCTACCAACGGCCTCAATACACCTGCTCTCGCACCAGAGACAGTAGCACCAGCAAGTGAAGCTACGCAAGGGCAGAAGGACAGCGAAGATGCCGCTGGCCCCGCGCTCGAAATCACCCCAGAGGAAGAGGAATGGTTGAAGAAGCTCAAGGCTAGCAACCTGCCATGGTACCCATGGCCCAGCAACGAGAAGATCCGTGCGGGCGCTCTATTCAGTCTCCAGTATTGGCGAGAGGTACGTTTGGCACGTCCAAGATTCATACAAGGCACACACTAACTCCTATCTCGTTGTGTAGAAGGGCAAAAACTTAGACGAGTTCAATATACCTGCACATTTGGACGCGGCTAGGGAGAAGGCGTTGCAAGAGCAGGGACAGAGCGAGGCGGCTGCACAGGACGCGCCTGCACAAGACATGGCACAGTCTCCGAGCAGACCAGCTCAAGATCAGGCTCCACCTCCAACGACATACCGTCCAAAGCCAATCGGAGTCTTCGAAGGCTTGGATGAGGATGATGACTGATCATTTTCAAGGGATGGACTTGATATGTACACGTCAAACATACGTAGAGCAGTTCAACTCAATACTAAGGATGCCACTTTCAACGGTGATGGCTATGATATCTTCTCTGTTGCACCTCATACAAGAAAAAAAATGAATAGGTCTGCAGGCTACATTAAGCCAGAACATTGCAAAGGCGGTGACCCAGCGCCAATGTAGGCTCCAGGCTGTTCAGTTTTTTCCTAGGTTGGCGTGGTTGCCCGTGTGATACTGTACAGCGCATGATGACATGACCAAAATTTCGTATCCGATTTCTAGGTGACTCAAGCAGAATCATTCGCAGCATAGAACTGATGCAGACTCCGCTAAACGCAATGTTGAATTTCCCATGAGTATGCTCGCATGCTTCCGACGTCATGCAGTCCAAGTGGATTTCGCGTTGGCTGGACCCTGACCAACTAGTCCGCTTTCGGTTAGCATCCAAATTTTCCTAGAGCCGTGCTCGACTTTTCGCGGAAGTCGCGTTGCGACAACCTCCAATACACTCTCCAGGAAATCAATAAAAGATGGGTAGCAAATTACCCAAGAGGGAGCGCGAGGTGGACCAAAGCGAGAAAGTTGACGAAGCCCCGGCGAAGCGGCGCAGAGAAAGCAATTCGGACAAGGTGAAGCTCTCTAAGCTTTACGCAGACCTGGCAGCCGAAGAAGACGATGTCCGTCTTGAAGCCGCCAAACAGATCATCGTCAAATTCTCGCCCGAAAACAAGCCACAGCCCAAAGATGTGGAGGACGCGTTAGTACGCCTGATCAAAGGTCTTTGCAGTCAGCGCAAAGCAGCCAGGGTCGGATTCTCGCTCACGCTCACCGAATTATTGCGACAACTATTTGCAGTAAAGCAGGAGTCTATCGAAGGTTCGCAGCTTAATGTGGCGGCTGTCATCAAGATGGTAGAGGAGAAGACCAAAGCCAAGGGCAACGTGCCAGGAAAGGTAGGAACATGGACGCGCTGGATGTCGCAATGCTAACAAGTACAGGAAAAACGGGATCATACCATCGGAAAGCTCTTTGGGTTCAAGGCCATCATGCAATCATCGATACTGATCGAACCGGAACTTTCGCTGGATGCCTGGAACAAGCTCTTGGACAATGTTTATCGAATGGCACGCGACATTCCCTGGCTCCGGGAAGAATGCGGCATGGTCCTCGTCGAAGCAGTGAGGAGCTTGAAAGGTCAATCGCAGTACCAAAAATGTGTCGAGGAGATACTCGAACGCCTCAGCACGTTCAAGCTCGTCTCTACGCCTGAAGGCGTAGCTGTGTGGCTTACCGTCCAAGCAAGTTATCCAGTAACATTGCCGGAAAGCGTTTGGCACGACAAGGATCCTCTGGCAAAGAAGGAACGCTCGCGACTTGCTAAGATTCTGAAGGAGGACTTCAACAAGAACGAATCGGAAGATGGCGAAGAAAAAACCATCAAGACTGGAACCACGAGCTCGAATCCGTCTTTCGCCTGGGACTTGGTCTTTGCCGAGATCTTGCGCAGAGATGAACACAGTAAGAGTAGTTCCAAGGACAAGAGAGAATTCCCGCAGTTCTGGATCGACACGGTAGACAGCAGTCTGTTCTCCTCCTCGGCATCCCATGAACGTAAAGCCTGGGGATTCAAGCTGTTGAGCAGCATGATCACACGTGTGCCGGAATGGGCTGTCTCTGCCTTGTTCAGCCCCAATCTGATGCGCACCCTGATCAACCAAAGCAAGAAAGAAGACCGATTTCTTCATTCCGCTGCGTTGGCTGCGTTGAGTGCCGTTCAGCTTAGGGTGGAGCGAGAAGACGGAACAGCACTTCCCATCTTCGTCGCATTGACCTCAAAGCACGGTAGCGTCGAGTTTGATCGGATCACCAGGACCAAAACGCTGGAGCAGATTCTCGCGTCTGCAGATGACAAGAGTTTGATGAAGATTATACGCCATCTCAAGTCGTTGATCCTACGTCCTGAAAGCGAGGAACAGACCGTTGCAGACAGCCGTCGCCAGGCCATTGCAGACCTGCTTCTGAACACGATCAGGCAGTACAAGCGATACGAGAAGTTCAACGAGAAGACCTTCAAGAAAGACATCGCTCACCTACGCGAAGGTGGCGCTGCAGAAGACCGAAAGTCCAATTGGCTGCGAGAGATCCTGGAGACACTGGTGGAGTTTGCCTACTTCATTCCCTCGAAGAAGGCGGATACGAAGAAAATGCCTCTTCCACCTGTCAGTGACCGCAGTCGGACGATATTTCAAGAGCGGTTATCATCCTGTTTGACGAAGTTATTGGACGTAAAGTTGGGTGCTCGATCAGATGTTGCCTTCATGGTGTTGGACATGATAAAAGCCAGGAATGGCAAGTCTGCAAAACTGGATCTTGCTTTCAAAGCAGATGAATCGGTTCTGAGTACCATGGAGAAGGCGCTTAGCACCATTGGCGCTATCTCTGCGACAGTACGTATACTATCTTCTGCTGTTATTTTCGTTTGACTAACGCAGTATTACAGGGATCGATAGCTGGCAATGAGATGGCAGCACAGGGCTTCCTGCTTCTGTACTCTCTGACCCTCTTACAAGCCTACAATGGCGAGGGCGATGCCGTCATGATGCTCGATGACCTTGATGCTTCCTACAAAGCCTTCGAAGCGTCACGAAAGGCGTCATCGAAGAAGAAGAGCAAGGCTTCAACTTCCGACGGCCAGAATGCTTTCGTCGAGATCGTACTCTCTTTCTCAGGAAATGAACGAACGTTGTTCCGACGAATCGGTGAAGAAGCTTTCTCTATATTCGCATCCGAGATCAGTGCCGAAGGGTTGCGCTCACTGACTGAGATCCTGGATACCGAAGAGAACCTTGAAGGACAGAAAGAATTGTTCAATCAGGGCGATGAAGACGAGGAGGAGGAAGGCTCAAGCGATGAGGATGAAGACGACTCAGACGTTGAGATGGTTGATGGGGAAGAAGCAGACAGCGACGAGGCTTCTGAGTCAGGCTCTGATGATGACGATAGCGACGAAAGTGAGGAGGAAGACGCAGAGCTGACTCAGTTCGACAACATGCTCGCTATGACCCTCCAGACCTCGAAGCCGACCATCGACGGAGAGGCGGCAGAAGAGACATCTGACGAGTCAGACATGGATGACGATCAGATGATGGCGCTTGATCCACATCTCAGCAAGATCTTCAAGGAGCGCAGCAAGACAACCAGCAAGAAGAAGGAGCGAACGGACGCAAAGCAGAATGTCGTACAGTTCAAGTCAAGAGTCCTGGATCTACTTGCTGTGTATATGGAGAAGCAATACTCCAACGCCCTCACTCTGGATATCCTCCTCCCAGTACTCCGTCGCACCCGAGCAAACGCAAACAAGCAGACGGCAGACAAAGCGGCCAAGATGCTAAAGTCGTTCTTCGACACCCGCACGAAGCGCAAAGCACCTCTCCCGAAGCCAGAGAATGTCGAGGATGTATGGGAGCTGCTGAAGGGTATTCACGAGGAGGCGAAGCTAGGTAACGGCTCAAAAGTCCATGCAGATGCATGTGGTTCCGCCAGTCTCCATGTCGTCAAGGTCCTTGTTGGTCTCGACAAAGGAAACTATGCTGGTGTGGTGGACGTTTATGCTGAGACGCAGAAGCAGTGGTTTGCGGACAAGAAGTCTCCGCTACAGCCTGTGCTGTTTACTCAGTTCCAGAACTGGTCTGTAAACGCACGTCAGCAGGGGAAATAAGTGGTCATGTATAAGTACAGGCGCTTTGTTCTAATAGCACATCTTGTGTAAGTCTCGATCTATAAAATTGTTGAGGCTCCTTGAAATCTAGCATCTTCTCCATGAAATCAAGCCAAAGGAATGTTGATACAGTTTTTGAACTTGTTTAACTCAGACGTGACTTCTGAGCCAGAGTGGAGCTGTCGCGTGGTGACTACCTTTCTTTCGGTATTGGTGGCAGGTATCCACTTTTGTTTGCCCCGCCGCGGGGAGGAGCTCTAGAAGCCTAGCCTATGTCATAACAACCGAATTTACGTGCAAACCGTCGCGACTTTCTACACCGTACCTCGCCCACATCAACTTTGACCAAACATGGCCTGTACGCACGTAAACGCACCCGGTAAGCACCCGTACCTGTCCCCAGACTCTACTCTCGAATAGCAAAAGAAATGAAGGGTGGCAAACATGCTTCAGGCGCCTTCATTTGCTCTATGGCTACATCCTCACCCTAGACAGTACTAACACGTCTCAGAGCTTCACCCACCAGGGCCAACGCAGTCTGTGTACCGGGAGGACTGCACCCAATGCTTCGACTCGATCGACGACCCCACCGGCCTCGACGTTTGCCTCTACTGCTTCAATGGTGGATGCACGAGCGATCGCAATCATTCCCTCCTCCACGTGTCGTCCACGAACCACCCCCTCGTCCTCAATATCAAGCGCACACGAAAGAGGGTCAAGCGCGATGAGCCTCCTCAGAAGATGACCAAGCTTGCTGTCGCAGCTGAGACTGAGGCAGACCGCTACGATACCACAACACAAGTCAAGTGCTACGAGTGCGGGGTTGACGATGTAGACAAGAGCTCGGGGAAGCTGCCCAACATTGTGGACGCAGTTCTCAAGGCGAACACGTTCGCGAAGCAGCAGGAGGTCAAGGCGTGGGAACAGGAGCTGACTGCTTGCGAACATACCCTCTGTCTGGAACAGCAAGCGGCGCGACAGATCGAATCGCAGAACCTGGGTCACTGCTCAGAGTGCGAGCTCAACGAAAACCTCTGGCTGTGCTTGACCTGCGGTAATCTGGGTTGTGGCCGTCAGCAGTTCGGTGGCGTTGGTGGCAACTCACACGGTGTTGGACACACCAAGTCGACTGGTCATCCTGTCGCAGTCAAGCTCGGGTCTCTCACCGCGGATGGCACGGCTGATATCTACTGCTACGCCTGTGATGAAGAGCGCATCGACCCAGAACTACCGGACCACCTAGCACACTGGGGCATCAATATCAAGGACAGGGTGAAGACTGAGAAGAGTCTTACGGAGATGCAGGTCGAACAGAACTTGCGCTGGGACTTTGCTATGGTGACCGAAGACGGCAAGGAACTGCAGCCATTGTTCGGACCAGACTTCACGGGCCTGAAGAACCTGGGCAACAGCTGCTACCTGAACAGCACTCTGCAGGCCCTGTTCTCCATTCCAGAATTCAAAGACCGATACTACCTCCCCAACGAAGCTCCGCCGGAGACGCCACTCCCTGCCGAGGATTTGGAAACTCAGATGCGCAAAATCGCAGACGGTATGATTTCAGGTCGATACTCAAAGCCAGATAGCGACGTCATCACCAACGAGCACAACCCAGAGGTTCCTCACCAGCGCGGCCTCGCGCCTGCCATGCTCAAGCACCTGATCGGACGAGGCCACGCCGAGTTCTCAACTATGCGACAACAGGACGCGTTCGAATTGCTTCTGCACGTACTCCAGCTTGTTTCACGCAGCAAACACGTTGAGCCCCATAAGGATCCGGTCGGTGCTTTCCGCTTTGCTATGGAACAGCGGCTACAGTGTGTCAGTTGCAAGCGCGTTCGTTACAAGACAGACGAGCAGGAGAACATTTCCATCCCAGTCCCCATCCGGCGGATACCAAAAGACTCGCAGATGGACGTCACCAACAGCGACGGCAAGAAGGAAGAAAAGGAGGAGTTTGAGCCCGTCACGCTGAAGGAGTGTCTTGACATCTTCACAGCTGAAGAACTAGTTGAGCTTACTTGCGGTGCATGTGGCAGCAAGGATGGCTTTACGAAGAGGAGCATGTTCAAGACTTTCCCTTCAGTGTTGGCCGTCAACGCAAGGCGCTTTGAATTGGTCAACTGGGTGCCTACCAAGCAGGATGTTCCTGTCATTGTCAACGATGAACCTTTCTCCTTCGACGCCTACAAGTCAAATGGTTTGGCAGAAGGAGAGGAGCTTCTCCCAGAAGATGTAGACACAGGAGCGTCGGGCAGTTCGAAGTGGTCGCCTAACGAGGCGGCACTTTCAATGCTTGAGGCTATGGGATTCCCTCGGGTTCGATGTGAAAAGGCTCTACATGCTACTGGTAACGAAGATGCTGAAGCAGCGATGAACTGGTTGATTGGACATATGGAGGATCCAGATATCGACGACCCCGTCGACTTCAACGCTGGTTCTGGTGGAGGCGCAGCCGCTGCATCTGTTCTCGACCCTGAAAAAATCGAGAACCTAGGAGCTATGGGCTTCAACGCTCCACAGGCACGCCAGGCTCTGAAGGAGACGGGTGGTGACATGGAGCGCGCTGTCGACTGGCTGTTCAGCCACCCCGATGCACCGGGCGATTTCGATGAAGGCGGTAGCTCCGAGGCACCTGCGGAGCCAACAGAGAAGAAGTTGGCTGGTAGTGAGACGCTGCCTGCAAACTTCCAGCTCCAGTCGATAGTATGCCACAAGGGTAGTTCGATACACGCCGGGTAAGTTTTCCGTATTTGGGCCTTTGTGGAGGGAGATTCGCTAACACGCCATAGACACTACGTTGCGTTTGTGCGCAAGCAGTTGCCAGGCGAGCAGGCTGCGTCATGGGTTCTCTTCAATGACGAAAAGGTTGCCAAGGCGGCGGACATTGAAGAGATGAAGAAGTTTGCCTACGTGTATTTCTTCCGACGTTTGTAAGACAGCGGGTCTAGGTCCCTCACCACGGACTAGCATAGCGAAAGCGGAGTTGTGTCGGGTTAGCATTAGCATTGATGAAACGGCGAAATGAGAGCGGATTGGGAGCATTGCGGCGCAAGCTGCTAGATAGCATCAGCATGGCTGTAGGCGATATGAATGGAGCTGAAGTTCATCTGATAGCAAGACGAACGGAGATAGCACTCGTTCGCCGGTGATCTGGAGCGGTTCTCCGAGATGATTCCATGATAAGTGTGGGGTATGTGTGCGCACGGACATTACGTCGCCGGCGGCCGGGCGTGGCTTTTCATCATTACTTCAATTGTCCGTCGCCATCCACCTCCGCTACACCTACACCAACATCCAACCGCTACCCGAACTATTCCCAAAACTCACCAAAGATACTACCGAACCTCAAAACACCACACACATCGATCGCCACCATGTTCAGGAGGGTCGCAGCAGCAGTGCCCGCTCAGGCAGGAAGAGTGCTCGCAACCGCCGCCAGGCCCAGCATCGTTTCGCCCATTCGCACAGCAGCACCCGCAGTCTCAGCAGTCGGTCGGCGGCAGTACCATGAGAAAGATAAGTCGCTCTTTCCTCGCGTTCGGAAAATCGATGTGGTGGCGACACGGGAGTCCGATCGGAATCACCTCGTCATCGCACCGCCATCTCCGACTAATTATATCTGAGAACGCTCAGCTAACATTCGCAGCACTGCTCGACCACTACAACAAGCCCCGCAATGTCGGCTCCATGTCCAAGACGGACAACGACGTCGGTACTGGACTAGTCGGCGCACCCGCATGTGGCGACGTCATGAAGCTCCAGATCCGTGTCGACCCCAACAGCAACACCATCAGCGATGTCAAGTTCAAGACCTTCGGCTGCGGCAGCGCGATTGCGAGTTCGAGTTACCTGACCGAATTGGTCCGGGGCATGACACTGGAGGATGCGTCGAGGATCAAGAATACAGAGATTGCAAAGGAGCTTTGCCTACCACCTGTAAAGCGTCAGTATCCCCACTATACGAAAGCGAGAATCAGGACCAGATTACTAACTGCTTGTAGTGCATTGCTCTATGCTTGCTGAAGACGCCATCAAATCCGCCATCTCCAACTACTACACCAAGAACCCCAACGCACGGCAAACAGACCTTGGCGGCAAGTCGGCGCCGCTGCCAAAGGTGGAGATTGAGACTGTTTCCTCAGCGACGGCTTAGGAAGGACGATGACAATGATGATGTAAATTGATACCAAGGGGATGAGAAGGATGGTTGGAAAAGGAAGTTTCCTGATGTTACCTGCATTCAGTCTTTCGCTACTCAATGTACCGGGTATGACTTGGGCGTTTGAGCGTTACGGCGGCTGGCTTCCTGTATAGTAGGCTGAGAGTACATATGTTTTATCGCAATGAACAAAATTCTTAATGCGAAGCCATGGGGTTGAATTGTGATGTGATGTATAACGAATGGACAGTCGAGGCAAGTGCTGTAGAGGGTGGACTTAGGCCTATCTAAATTGTAGTACGCAATAGCGGAAGTCGGCTATGTGATCGTCTTATGAGCTGAGTGTCACGCCATGCAGGTGCTCTACATCTGATTATCCTCTGCATCAGATGATGCATGTATCAACGCGTTATGCAGCCTTGTAGCGTCTTTGTAGATCAGGATCGCACCTAAATCCAGTCTCACGTAGATCATGCTCTAATTGTGCGAACCATGTTTAGCCTCCGTCATGAAGTTTAGGCAAGAGTGAAAGGGCTTATGACGCTTTGGACCCTTGCGTGGTTCACGCCTCGGCCTAGATCGTCCTCCGAAACTCTACCTCTCCGACCCACGCTTCACTCCCGACTCTCCCGTAACTGCCCAGCATGTCGACGGCCCAAGAAGACGAGGCAGTTCCCGCTATACGATTCAAGCGCCGCAAGATCGCGCACCCGAAGCGCGTCTATACCGACGACGATGCGCCTACTGTTTCCGCCTCGCATACGCCCGTTGCCGCGACTCCAAACGACGCGCCTGTCTCGCCGACCGAAGGCAACGATGAAGAAGAGTCGGTGCCGAA